CAGATCATACTAAAATAATTAATCATATAAATTATCTAAAGTCATTTTTCAAGCGATAAGATATGGTAGTAAAACATATTTCAAATATTTCTTAGTTATAAGAAAATATATGTCCAACTCAAAATAGCCCATTTTGGGCACTGCGATGTAAAATGGCAGTGAGAAATCTTCTACCCTGAATCGAGTTGGAGTTTAACTTAACTCACGAACCTATTATTATTATATATGCATTTATGTATATATATATATATACACATATAATATCAAGCGATATATATATATATATATATATATATATATATATATAGTTAACTTTTCTTGACGGTAGATCAATTAATAGAAATCGTCTAAAAAAAAATTTTAACACCTCATTACAGGAAAACGGCCAAGCCGATATTTACCAAAAACTAATCAAGTCCATTCCCAACCAATATCTTTCGAACGGTTTTTGAATTTTCTAAATCGATTTTGAATTGCGGGCTAAATCGTGGACGAAAAATGTTTCACTTTTCTGTTATTTACAAAGAAAGACTTGGCTGATCGTCGCGCAAAATTGATAGCCGTTCAGCCGTTTCTGAGAAAACGTCGATTTACGGCAAAAAAATTGTTCACACATACACACTCACACACTCACACACACACTATACACATACATACTTTTCCCAAATTTGGTCTCATTCGATTGAGAATGGATTGAAATGTCCAGAAAAACAAAAAAAAAAAATTATGAATCGGGTTTTATTATGAAAACATAAACTTCTCCCTCGGAAAGTTAATAATTTGCAGCCATTCGTCGAATTCAAAAAAAGGTTAAAAGAAAACGTTCTTTACGTTTCAACACTTGATGTATCATCATTCAGTCAATCAAACCAGAATAAAAACAAAAACTTAAAATACTAATAATAAATTAAAACTAGAGGTGTATGGCATCATGCCGTAAGGCAAACCGCTGGAACTTACCGTACTATAATGAAATATTCGAAGAATATTAAATGTTTTCAAACAGATTCTTATAATTACTGTTAAAATGAAAGACATTGTCTAATATTTATAAGAACTACATAAATTGAAAAGTTAAAATTATTTATTTGTTTTAGAACTTTGGCTAGAATTAAAATTAAAATCCGAATTATTTTCGATATTCAAAAAAAAAATTTTTTTGGAAATTAAAAAAAAGTGAAAAAAACAATTCTTTTACCAAAAGCAAAAAGTGTTTTTAATCATTTAAATCGGATGCTTAATTCTCTCAAAAACTGCCATTTTTGCACATTTAGTTCAGTATCTCCGGAACGGCTCGACCTGCCTTTGCCAAAAAACTAATTAGAACTTTCTCCTGCAATTACGAATTGATTTCGATCGTTCTAATCGGGTGTTCGTTCTCTCAAATATTCGATTTCTTTTACCTGCACTCTGTATCTCCGAATCGACTAGACCTGCTTCTGACAAAAAGTAGTAAGCATTTCGATTCGATTTATATTGATAGGGATACATCAATATAAATCGAATGTTCTTTAACTAATTAAATCGGTTGATCTGTGCCCCCGAAAACGTGGACGAATAATTGTATCTATACATACATACACACACATCTATTTTTTTTTGAGGTATGCCAAAATGTTCAGAAACCTTCAAAACGTGAAATAATGCAAAAATATTTATTTCGATTTTTTAGACGATTACAATAACTATCCAACGGGAAGTGAAAATATTGAACTTTGATAAGAAAAACTAGTATTCCGTAAAATATTAATAGATTTACACAATACTTTTTTAATAGATTTATATATACTTACTTTTGATTTACATCAGAGAAAAATTCAGGGTCTGCATTTTTGCATTCATGCCTGTTTACGATTGGAACTACAGCTCCTTGTAGAAGCCGCGAAACACTAGCAGCATCTTCCTGTTAGTTGAATCATTTCATATATTATAAGAATAAAAATGTTCACCTATATTCAAAATATATTGCATTGTTAATGTAAACTAATCCAATAATTAATGTAATCAGGTTATAAATACATGACAATGAGTCTTTCATTAATAGATGCAATCTTAATAGATACCTACTGCTTTTTTCTGAAAGACGGCATATGTTTGAACGATATTATTTTATATAAAATAGTTCTCGCTTTTTTTCCCGGGTTGAGATATTTTGGCATTTACTTTAGTAACCTCAGAATTACAGTTCTTGATGTATTTTTCATTATATATTAATTGTCTCAGTTATTTTTTTTTTCTATTTAAAAGTATAGTAGTTAATATAGTATTACGGTGATGAAAACCGTTTTGATATTATTTTTAATCGTCGCCAAAATAAAAATATAGTTTTAAGTTTAAGTTTATTAACCGAAATTTATATACCGATGTAACGCCCCAGCCGGTAACAATCGCAGGTGAATAAGGTGCAGGATCTTGACCTTCTTTGGCCAACGTTATTTTGTGAACGCTATTTGAGAAGGTAATTGGGGTTTTCAGCTTAAGAAGGGCCGCGTCACAGTCTAGAGTCGTTCGGTTGTAATCTGGATGAACAAATACTTTTTCTACTATATTAACGCTGCCGAATTGCCAGTTGTTAGTTCCATAACGAATTTTAAGGAAGTCGTCCAGTTCGACATCTTCATATCTAATACAAACAATGAGTGGTAAAGCTTGGCATCCTCTTTGTTTGCAGTATTTGCATTATACTTTAAATTAATTAGATTATTTTAATACTTACCGGTGTACACAATGTGCGGCAGTTAATATCCAGCTTTTATCGATAATAGAACCACCACAAAAATGACGGTTTTCGGTTTGAATTGATACCTGCCAGGGAAAACCTCTTATATCAACTGCCGTTCCGCCGACAATGCGATCCTCTATTTCTTCAGAAAGAACGCATCCGATCAAGGCGATTAATATTGGCAGTTTCTTCATCTTAATATTACCTGTTCGTATGCGCTACTAAATTATTTTAATGTTACCTTATATTTATATGTTCAAAATTTATCGAAAACACAATAAAACATATTCACAATAAAATCATAATTATACGCTTATTTAGATAACAATTTTCAATCAACCGCAATATATAATGGACCAAAGGAAATAAAATATGAATTTGATAAAAAAACATTATATTATAAACATTATAGCTGAATTTGAGAACAACATATATATATAATAAAACTATTAGTGTAAGGCAATGTGCCTTAAGGCAAATTGTTAGTACTTCCCGTACCGTAACGAAATGTTCGAGGAATATTAAAAGTTTTAAAGTAGATTATTATAAATACTTTAGCATTGTCTAATATTTATAAGAATTATATAAACTAAATTAAAAAGTTAAAATTATTTATTTGAAGTATATAAGTGAGCTTTAGAACTTCAGCCAGATTTAAAATTAAAATATGAATTATTTTCGATATACATAAAAAAATTTTTTTGAAAAAAAAAATATCTTTGAAATATTTTTTTTACCAAAGGCAATTCTTATGTCAACACAAGCAGAAAGTTTTTTGAATCATTCAAATCGGATGCATAGTTCTTTCAAAAACTGAAATGGCCGGGCCTGCTTTTGCCAAAAACAAATAACCACTTCTCCCAATTATTACTAATTGAATGTTTTTAGATCATTCAAATCGGATGCTCCGCTCTTTCAAAAGCTCGCATTCTATTTTCTGCACTCTTTGCTCCGTATCTCCGTTACGGCTGGACTTGCCTTTGCCAAAAACTAATCAACACATCTCCCTATCAATGAGAATCGAATGTTTTTTGAACCGATCCGTGCGCCAAAAAACGTGGACAAAAAATTGCGCACACACACACATCCATGTTTTCTTAGGTATACCAAAGTCCTCCGAAACATGAAGATTTTTGGCCCATTATTGGAACTTGCCCTACGGAAATTAATATACAGAAACTATATAGGATTAATTTGTTAAAGTAGAGCATATTTGGTTAAATATTGTATTCTTGCTAGTTTAATCAAGAAGGATATTTAAATCATTATAATACATATAAAAAAATATACGTTGCATATTATTATTAAGTTAAATATTATTAAAATATTTTAGAGCTATATCTTATCTGATGGCTAGCTGAAGAATCTTATCTAATAATTATAAAAAAAGTTTTAATAAAATATATTGATGTATTACTGAATACTCCTAAGTCTAATATAAAGCTATAACTGCATGAGCTTTTTTAATTGCTAAGGTTATTTTACATTTTGAAAAGCTTTAAAAATAATTGAAAATTCTGACCAAATGGAAATTTTATTTTTTTTCAGTTTATTGAATATTTTGAAATCATTTAAAGTTTATTGTAAGAGATTGCGTTGCGTAGCTGTTTTAGAGACGAAATATCGAAGCACGTAAGCCTCGCGTTGCAGTCTGTTCTCAAAACCTGTGTTGTCAATTTTGGCACTTTTCAAGGGCTAGATCTGCAAAAAAACTAATTAGCACGTCTTTCCTTCTATACGAATAAACTTTTTGTATCATTCAAATCGGTAGATCCGTGCTTTTGAAATCAAGAACAAAAATTGTTTCCAAACGTACACACATACATACTACATAACCACCGGCTCACGTGGAAAAAACACATTTGTCAAAAGCGTAGAAAGCTCGAAGATAAACTCAGACAACTATATTGACTGCTGGGTCATAAATCTAAAGTGTCGATGTCTACCAAAGTTCTAATTTATAAATGAGTACTGAAACCCATCTGACAATATGGTATTTAGCATTGGGGCGCAGCCAGCCCCTCAAATATTGAAATCTTATAGAGATTCCAGAATAAAATGTTTAGGCAAAATGCCAACGCACCAAAATACACCCCCAACAAAAAAAAAACAGAGAGATACTTTTCCAGGTATAGCCGAAGGATGGCTATAGGGTAGAGGATGGCTTCGTCATGCACAAGATAGGTTTTCAACAAATGCGGCACAGAACAACAAAATAACAAATTAAATATTAGTTTTATGTTTAGTTAGATCTTTGTTCTGTTTAGGTCTATTTTATCATTATAATTATATATCATCATAAGTGTATTTTAGTTTATATTTTCTTAATTAGGTATTAAATAAATTATAAAAATCTTTAGAATTCTTTAGAAAGGTACCGAAACAGGTCAACCATCTACCCAAATAGCCTTGCAAGAAAGCTATTACAAATAACAGTTTATAATCAGCAATATACTATTTAATATTTGCTACATATTTTTATTGTAACCAGTAGATTTTTCATTATTATACAGCACCATTAACTCACAAATCATCAAAATGAAGTTAAATGATGTTCAATGATTTTAGAGATAATATCTGTGCTCAATGGAGCACAATTATTATTTGGACTCTCAAGAATAATAAATCAATAATGATTATAATGAATTATAATCTAATTAATCAATTTTAAAATAAAATTCTATATAAGTATTTTATTTATAAAGTATATAATACTAAAGTTTGTATACTTGGTTGACAAAAATAAATAATCACTAGTTGGGTGTATGGTATCGTACCTTAAGGCAAATTGCTAGAACTTCCCGTACCGCAATGAAATGTTCGAAGAATACCGAATTTTTTCAAATAGATTGTCTAATAATTTATAAGAATTATATAAACGAAGAAATTATTATATAAACGAAAGAATTGCAAAGTTGAAATTATTTGTTTAAAGTATATTAGAACTATAGTCAGAATTAAAAATAAAATCTGAATTAATTTCGATATACGATTTTTTTTTTTTAAAAAAAATTGATAAAAAAATTGAAACAATTTTTTTTTCCAAAATCAATAATTTTGTTAAGGCAAGCAGAAAGTTCTTTGAATTATTTAAATCGGAATCGCCTTTGCCAAAAACTAATAAACACTTCTCTCAATCATTACTAATTGAATGCTTGTTAGATCATTCAAATCGGATGATCCGTTCTCTCAAAAACTTAATTTCTATTTTCTGCACCCTTTGCTCTTTATCTCCGTAACTGCTGGGTCTGCCTTTGCCAAAAACTAAACAGCACATCTCCCTATCAATAGGAATCGAATGTTTTTTGAACCATTTAAATCGTTTGATCCGTGCGCCCGAAAACGTGACCGAAAAATTGTATCCATAAATACATACACACACACACATCCATTTTTTCTGAGGTATGCCAAAATGTTCAGAAACCTTCAAAACGTCGAGAAATGTAAAAAAATTTAATTACAATTACTTACCTTACGGGAAGTTAATTATAACTTTATGAGTATGTAAAAATAATTTTATGCTCAAATATTTATTTACTATATTATATCTAATGCGAATAGGTATTTATTGCACATCATCAATTTATTAATTTTTGAAAATACCTTTAGCAAAATATAAATTATATATTTTTGCAAAACATTTATATTTGGCGTGCGCCATGAAAACTTTTATCACATTAATAATCAAAATGTTTTTGTATAATCAAAAACAGCAAATTCACTCGGAATATGTGGAAAATGTAAGAAACACTTGAAATGCTATATCATATAATCGCATGTAAGAACTTTTAAAATATAATTTTTCAGTATTTAAAAATATGTTAAAAAGTCTCAAAAATTAAATATATGTATGAATCTTAAATTTTAATATTTAAAATTAAAATTAACAAAATTATATGAACAGCTATGAAGAATTTAAGTAACCCTTTAAATATATCCACACATACATCATTTTTTTCTAAGGTGTTTCTAATGTAAAATGCTCAGAAACCTTCGTAACGTAATGATATGTAATAAAAATTTATTGACAATTTTTGGACGATTTCTATAACTTACCCTACGAGAAATTAATTATATATCCAAGGTTTAGAACAGCAATAAAGTATTAAAGCAACCCTTTATGATATAAATATTTCATTTTATAAGAATCGTATTCAATATTTATTGCAATACAACAGTTGAATTTAAAACATGATTGGTAACTTGTATGTTAATTGAAAGTTATATGCTTGATAAAGAAATGATTTTTTTAAATATCATAATAAACATACTGATATTGATAGAAATATTCAAACTTTTCTTAATCGTATCTGGAATTATTATGTGCCTATGTAATTATTTGTAATCGGGAACTATCATAATTCAGCAGGGCAGAATATTCATTATTTTACACGCCAGCCACATCTCTTATAAATCCTCTGATTGAAGGTGCGCCAATCCTGGTAAATACACTAGGAGCAAGTTTCCTTGCACATCCATGTGCCCATGAAACAATTCCTATTTGTTTATTTTTCATGTTAATTAATGGACCACCACTATCACCTTGGCACGAATTGACTCCTCCATCAATATACCCAGCACAGATCATGCTAAAATAATAAATTGTAAAATATCTGAACCGAAGTCATTTTCCAAGTCATTAGTTATAGCTTTACATTAGAAAAATATATTTACACCAAATAATGATCTTAGATTTGTATATATTTGCAATAAAAAAAATTAAAAAAATATTAAAAATTTCGTAATAAAAATTATAACGAATATTTTTTCAAAGATTTGGTCGAAGGTTTTCATGTAGGCATACTACAATCTATTAAAATTTAAAAATTTTATATACTTACTTACTTTGAATTAACCATAGAGTACGATTCAAACGGCATTTTTTTGCATTCATTTCGATTTACAATTGGAATTACAGCTCCAAGTAAAATGAGCGAAACTTCATCAGCATTTTCCTGTTACAAACATTTTTCATGATATTATATGTTATAACAATGAACATCTATATTTTTAATTAAATATATTTAAAATATTTTGAATTTCAATTACCAACTCTATGTAAAATAAATCGTCCCGTACCGTAACCGAAATATTCGAAGAATATTAAATGTTTTCAAACAGATTATTATAAATTCTGTAATATCGTCTAATATTTATAAGAATTATAGAAACTAAATTGCAAAGTAAAAATTCTTCACTTAAAGTATAATTATATATGAACTTTAACCAGAATTAAAATATAATATTCAAAATAAAAATTATAAAAAAAAATTGAAATGAATTTGTTTTCCAAAAGCAATTATTACGTCAACACAAGCAGAAAGTTTTTCGAATCATTCAAATCGGATGCTTATTCCTCTCAAAAACTGCCATTATTTGTTGATTTAGCTCTGTATCTTCTGAATGGCTGAACCTGCCCTTGCGAAAAACTAATCACCACTTCTCCCAATCATTACAAATTGAATGTTTTTTAGATGATTTTTGTTTTCTCCACCTTTTGCTCTTTATCTTTGTAACGGCTGGACTTGCCTTTGCCAAAAACTAATTAGCACATCTCCGTATCAATAAGAATCGAACGTTTTTGAACCATTCAAATCGGTTGATTCGTGCGCCCGAAAACATGAACAAAAAATGTGGACACACAAAACACATACACACATACACACATACATTTTTTCTGAGGTATGCCAAAATGCTCAGAATCAGAAAGAAAATCTTTGAAAGATTTTTTCTCAGAAGCAATTATTTTGTCATTACAAGCAACAGGTTTTTTGAATCATGCAACTCGGATGCTTAGTTCTCTCAGAAACCACAATTGTTTGCATAATTTGCTCGGTATCTCCAAAACCGAACGGATCATTACAAATTGATTGTTTTATGGATCATTCAAATCGAATACTCCGTTCTTTCAAAACCTTGATTTCTATTTTCTGCGCTCTTTGCTCCGTATCTCTGTAACGGCTGGACCTGCCTTTGCCAAAAACTAATCAGCTCATCTCCGTATCAATAGGAATCGAACGTTTTTTGAACAAGTCAAATCGGTTGATCCGTGCGCCCGAAAACGTGAACTAAAAAATGCGGACAAACAAAACATGCACAAAAATCGATTTTTTCTGAAGTATGTGAAAATGTTCAGAAACCTTTAAAACGTGAAGTTATGCCAAAACTTTCATTTTAGATTATCTGCCCATTACTATGACTACCCTACGGTAAGTTAAAAATGTGTGGATTTAAAGATATATAAATAATGAATGGTCGTTTTGTTGTGGAATCGGCGCCTGAAGAAAAAGATCATTTATTCTTCCATCAGCTGAAATTAAATTTTTACCACTGTAAAGCCCCAGCCTGTAACAATCGCAGGTAAATAAGGCACAGGATCTTGGCCTTCTTCGGCTAACGAAATTTTCTGAATGCCATTTGTGAAGGTAATTGGTGTCTCCAGCTTAAGAAGGGCGACGTCGTTAATAGCTGTCTCATTGCTGAAATTTGGATGAGCAATAAATTTTGCTACAATATTCACACTGCCGCCTAATTGCCAGTTGTTTGTTCCATAATGAATTTTAAGGTTCTCGCGCAGTTGGTCATTTTCTAATCTAAAACAAATGTTGAGCGTGACATGATTCCCTATGTTTGCAGCATTTAAATTGTACTTAAAATTTATTGTTTTTATTATTTTAATATTTACTTGTACACACAATGTGCAGCTGTTAATATCCAGCTTTTATCGATGATAGAGCCACCACAAAAATGTCTATCATTCCATTGAACTGATACCTGCCAAGGAAAATTTCTTATATCGACTGCCACTCCACCGACGATGCGATTCTCTATTTCTAAATTGCAAATGACTCAGTACAAATAATAATTTTTAATAAGAATAACTAAAAAGTAATAACACTAATTGGTTAAATTCTCCGCAAGATTGTTTAGAAAATAAAAATACAAGCATAATATAAATATAAAGTATAGATCTATCAATTCACTTTACAGAAATTTGTCTTTTATAATTATACTTCTATTTATTTTTGTCACAAATCTTACCTTGACTTGGTAAAAGTTGGGAATCGATACATCCGATCAAGGCGATTATTAATAGAAGTTTTATCATCTTAATTTTATTTGATCGTATTTGCTACTAAATTATTTTAATATTACAATATATTTACTTGCTCAAGACTTCAAGAAATTCATGTACAACATTATTATTTTATTTTAAAACTGGGCAAAAATAATTATACGCTTATTTAAAACTGCTACACATAATGGTGCAAAGCAAATGGAATATGAATTTGATAAAAGAAACATTATATTAAAATAATATCAAAATTTATAGTTTGAAAACAACATATACAAAATAGACAGGCAGAAACTTTGTGTAATTGATTACTTAAAATATTGCATAAAATATTATATTCCTACATTAGTTTAAATAAGGGAAAAAATTGTATCACTTTGTTCGGAATTATAATACTTATAAAGTAATACTGAGTGTATATTATTAAAATATTTTAATGCATTGCTTCATTTGAGAATAAGTTTAATTAGAAAATTTTATGTAATTAATAAACCACTTTTAATAAAATACCTAAATTATTTGAATTAAAGTCTTATATAGGCTATAATTGTATGGGCTGTTCAACTACTTGCATTTCAAATTTTATGTCAGAAGTACATATTAAACAAGTTGAAAGTGGCATTTAGCCTTAAGATAAGGTGCATGAAATTCCCGAAATGTGTGGGAATTGACTTAATCAAACAAAATTGAAACTCACTTTTCTGCTATTTACAAAGAAACGGCTCAGCCAATCGTTGCAGAAGACTGAGAAAAGATAATCCACATCGAAATACATCTATAGGTTTTCAATTTTTGAAATCGGTTCAGGCGTTTTTAGGCAAACGTCGATGAAAGTTCTAGTTTTGACAAACGCGAAAAAAAACGAAATTAGTTTTTGCAAACTTTGCCGAATTTTTAAAATTGAACGACTTATCGGAGGGCCGTAATATTTTAGTATAATATAGGACTATGGTATATACCATCAAAAAACATTCATAAAAATTGTCGAACAAAATTTTTTTAACACTACATTACAAGAAAACGGCCCGTCCAATCTTTACCAAAAGCTAATCTTCACGATTCCCAACCAATATCTTTCGAACGGCTTTTATATACATTAAAACCGTTCTAAAATATGAAATCGATTCAGATTTACAAAGAAACGGATTGTCTGTTTGTCGCGCAAAACTGAGAAATGCTAGTCCTCATCGAGATACATCGAATGGCTTTCAACTTTTTGAAATCGGTTCAGTCGGTTTTGAGTAAACGTCGATTTACGGCTAAAAATCTGCTCTCACACACACATAGTTTTTACAAATTTGGTCTCATTCGATTCAGCATGGCTTGAAACGTCGATAAAACATAAAATTAGCGAATCGGATTTTTTGATGAAAACATAAACATTTCCTTCGAGATGTTAATAGTACACAGTAGTGTAAAGCGGGACTTGAAGGTCTGCGTATAAAAAGGTTCAGTACCAATATCTGAAAAACGAGTAATGATGGAAATCTTTCACCTGCAGTATTTGAAAGTATGTAACCTGTCATTGCATTAAATCATGCGGTTTTGCTGTCACAAACGGCTATATTGTCTATTTAGTAACAAAAGTTTTTTTTTGTTATTAGTATTTTTGATTTTGAGCTCGGTTGTTTATTAGTTTGCAATACCTAAATGGAAATTTTAAGTTCACTTCATTCAACTGTTTTATAAGATATAATATTATTTTTGGATTCAATTGTAGGCTTTGATGTAGTTGAATAAGCAGTTTTACAAGAGATGAATTAAATTAATAGTTATACCAACTCTGATAATGAATCCTTATGATAAGGTTCCATATGACTTCAAGTAATACCTAAAAAGCAATTATGATTTATAATTGAATGTAAGAGCTTTAAATATAGTATTTTACTAATTAAAAATATGATACTATTTCTCAAACATTAGATATATGTATGAGTATGAGTCTTCAGAATTATAAGAGCAGCAATGAAGAATAAAAATAACATTTTATAATAGAAATATTACATTTTATTAGAATTGTTTTTGATAGCTATTGCAATATAACAGTTGGTTTTAGTTCTTTAAAACAGTTACAGTTTATTTGAGTGTTAATTGAAAGTTACATGCTTGGTGAATCAAGTAATGTCTAATAATGTAATAATATAGTAACTGATATTAAAATAAATATGTAAGCTTGCCCTAATCTAATCTGAAATTATTTTGTGCTGATGTTAATTTAAATAAATTGGTTTGCTATCGTAAATTATTCAGCAAGGTAAAATAATCATCATTTTACACGCCAGTCTGTTGTCTTATAAAACTTCTGATGGTCGGTGCGCCAACTCTTGCATATAGACCAGGGGCGTGTTCCCTTGCACATCCTAATCCCCATGAAACAATTCCTATTTGCCTAGTATTTGTGTCAATTAATGGACCACCACTGTCACCTTGGCAGGAATCGACTCCTCCATCAGCATATCCAGCACAAATCATACTAAAATAATAAATTATAATATTTCTGGGCATCATTTATTTTCTAAGTAAATATATATGTATATATTAAACAAATTAATGTGGTAAAAATTAAAATCTGGCGAGAATTTTATGTAATTTCTGATTGGATAACTAATTGTTCATATTCAAAAGCAAGAGAAGTTTTTGCGTACACTTTGCTATTTAATTCTTCAAACACATTTTTGCTAAAAAAAATATATGCAAAATATATATTGAAATTACAAGGGAAATTTAAAACTCTTATAATTATAATGCAAATTTTGCAAACAGTTTATGGACTGTACAACAATTTTTAATTTTCTTTTGATTTTAATTTAATGTAAATCAGTTGAGCTAGATATCCATATTTTAATAAATTCAACTCAGCGTATTTTTGGTAAGCAACTATTTTTGGTAAAATTTCAAAATTAGTATGTTATAAATTGTTTTATTTTGTAGTTGATTTAATAAATATTTCAAAATATTATAATTACATAATTTTTATAAATTAACTTACTTGGTATTAACCGAAGAGTACAATCCAGAGTTCATTATTCTGCAATCATTTCTGTATATGATTGGAACTAAAGCTCCACGTAAAATCTGCGAACCATTATTAGCTCCTTCCTATTACATACGTTATTTTATTAATGATTATATATTATAACAATGAGCATTTATATTTAGTTATATTTTTAAATATATTGCATTGCAAATCCAATAGCACTATGCAAAGTAACTAAAGTAAGCCGGTAATTAATCATTGATTCAAACAATATTCAATTTAATGCTTTAAGTGCTAAAAATGAAGATATAACAACCCCAGATACCACTGTCTTAATTTTCCATTTGCGATAGCCTTTAGTCAATCTATCAATATATTATTTTAATTTTATCTATATTGCTTTTATAATAGGATAAATGTACCATCAAAAACTAAAAACCATATTGAGGCAACCCTGCAATTGGTGATAATTTAAGATTTTATTTTTATAACCGTACAATAAAGTTTCATGCAAAATATTATTTTTAACTTCTCGAAGGAGAAATTTATGTATACATCAAGAAATCCGATTCGCTAATTTTATTTTTCTCGACGTTTCAAGCTATTCTGAATCGAATGAGATCAAGTTTGGAAAAAGTATGTGTGACCTTTTCTCAAAAACGACTGGACTGATTTCAAAAATTTAAAAGCCATTCGATGTACTTAGGTAAGGACTATTGTTTCTTTGTAATCAATCAACGTTTTTAGCTCTCAATTCTGAATCGATTTTGAAAAATCAAAAACTGTTTGAAAGATATTGGTTGGGAATAATAGAGATTAGTTTTTATGGAAAAATGTACCGAGCCCTTTTTTGAAATTAACACAAAATTGCCAATTTTATAAACCTTTTTTGGCAATGGATATCATGGTCTTATAAAACATACTAAAATGTTACGGTCCTACAACAAATAGTTTAATGTTAAAATTTCATCAAATTTTGAGAAAATATTATAGTCAAAATTTATACAACAATACTCTAAAATTTATGTCAAAAGTTGCTTTTGGGATGCGATGAGTCAAACATTATCAATTCATTATAATTTAAAATAATAAGCTGCAATTTTAAGGCATATAAGCACGTGTCTGTGCAATATAATTAATATAATTACAGTTAAATTAAATGTGTTTGAGAAAATTGTAATTTCGATTGATTAAGTCTATTATTACACGTTTCGGGAAGTTTAAGCTTAAGACTAAATGCCATTTTCAACTATTTATTTAATATTTTATCATGATAATTATGTCGTATTTTTTTTTGCGTAAACCTACAGATTATGTACAGGTGTATGAGTCACGTTTTTTAAGTCGGACGTTGGGAAAAATTATTAAATAAAATTACATTATCTTATTATTACTATTAATTACTCTTCATTCATTATTACTATTTTACGATGTAAAATTTTTAGTGTGGATGAAGCTTATTCAATAATAAGCATAATTTGCATAATTTGCATAATTTTCAAAGTTTCATATCTGGCATAACCACATCAAATGAAAAAAATATATTGAAAAAGGTATAATAACGATTATTGGATTTCAGGTGTAAAAAACTCGATAATCCAAGATTAAAGTAACATGTTTATTGTAATATACTCTGTTCTGAAGTTTTATTCTAATCGGCGTCAAAACAAAGTGCATATTAGGGTTAAACTAGCAAAAATTATATTCTTACCCTTGTGTCACCCCAGCCAGTAACGATTGCAGGTGAATAAGGTGCAGGATCTTGGCCTTCTTCGACCAATGATATTTTTTGAGTGCCATTTGTGAAAGTAATTGGAGTTCTCAGTTGAAGAAGGGCCGCGTCACTATCATATGTCACATTGTTAAAATTTGGATGAACAATAGATTTCGCTACAACAGTAGCGGTTCCTAATTGCCAATTGTTGTTTCCAGAATGAATTTTAAGGTTGTCGCCTAGTTGGACATTTTTAAAGCTAAAACAAACATAAAGTAGAAAATTGTTTTATTATACGTTATGTTTTCAGGGTTTAAATAGTACTAATACCAATATTTTGATACTTACTCGTACATACAATGTCCTGCAGTCAGTATCCAGCTTCTATCGATGATGGAGCCACCACAAAAATGACGATCTCTCCATTGAATTGATACCTGCCAAGGAAAACTTCTTATATCGACTGGTACTCCACCAACGATGCGACTTTCTACTTCTCTAACAGTCGGAACTTCTCCTGAAAGAATATAAGGGATAAAAGTTTTCTTCTGAATTTCACATAACTTTGCATAAAATAAGAGGGTTAGCAAATACCCTTTGACTTGTTTGACTACGTATGTAAAAACAACCATTTATATTTTCCTAGAAATTCTATATTGTAAAAGTATTAAACTTATTTAATGATAATAGATTTTACTTAGCTTGTTTACTAACTGTTACATTTGTTTAATTATTATTAAAAAACTTACGACGTCTTGGTAAGCGCTTAGAAAGGACACATCCAATCAGGGCGATTACTACCAGCAGTTTCTTCATCTTAATGCTACCTCTACGTATTTCTTACTAAATTATTTTGATATTACCTTATATTTATATGTGCAAAACTTGAAAAAATGACGCAAAAAGATAAAGCATATTTGTTATTCCAAAACTAGACAAATATAATGGTATGCTCATTTAAATAACTCAGTTTTCAATCAGCTGCTACACATAATTACCCTACGCAAATGGAATGTGAATTTGAAAAAAAAAAACATTATAGATTAAATGTTCCTGTTTATGAAAACAATGTCTAAATTTTAATTCGTGAAAAACATATGTAAAATAGACAGAAACTATGAGTGATTGATTTGTTAAAGTTCCATAGGTTTATTTAAATAATATTTTTTTGAGTTAATTTAAATGAGAAGAATTTTTATATCATTTTGTTTTCAATTTTAACACTTATGGAATATTATTACAATATTTTAGTGCCTGCCTTATCTGTTCGCAGGGTGAATAATTATATCTAAAATTATGTATCTAACTCTAATTTTAATAAATCATATTAAAATATTACTGAATACTAATTAAAGTCTAATTTAAATCCATAATCGCTTGAGCAATATATATATATATATATATATATATATATATATATATATATATATATATACATAGAGAACATATAGTAAGGAGATTGGTTTGGGTTGTACCACGGCAGTATGTATATATATATATATATATATATATATATATATATATATATTTCATATTATTAAAAATAAACAAATACAGAAATTGAAAAATCTTTTACAAATTCGAGATAAAAATTATCCATTTCATGTTTCTAAATTTTCGATAGACAAATGGCTTATAAATAAAACCAATATAGTCATTCCAGAAAATATCCAATACATTTTAGCACTCGGTCCAAAATTCAATTACGCACCTAGTAAATACAGAAATAATGACTTCATAAAAATTTTAAGTAACATAGAATACAATATCAGGAACATTGAGACTGACAAGCAAAATCGAATCAGGTCAAAACTATGTGAAAAACTAGTTAAACATTTAAAAAAAAGTTGATAATAGTTTCCAACATATTCATCTTAAAAGACTACACAAAGATATAGCGGAGACCAAATTATTCATTAAATCTAATAATATAATTGTTTGTCCAGCAGATAAAGGCAATATGACGGTAATTCTTGATAAATAATTTTATACTAACACTACATTACGAATGCTAAAAGATGATACTACTTACAAAATCATTACAAATGATCCAACACAACAGTTTTCTAGACAATCAATTAAATTAATTAATGAATTAAAAAATAAAAAATTCATTTCTGACAAATTTGCCTATAATTTAAAAGTACAACATCCTATTTCCCCAAAAATGTATTGTCTCCCCAAAGTCCACAAACCTGAATGCTCCTTTAGACCCATTGTATCCTACGTTGGCTCCCCATTCTATAATATCGCTAAACACATTGCTAATATTTTAAAAATTGTCACAATTTCCTCTCCTCACTATGTAAAGAACTCTTACCAATTTGTGGATCTAATCAAAGACCGAAACATTACGGACGATCAAATTTTTCTAAGCCTTGATGTAATTAACCTTTTCACATGTGTTCCCCATGATTTAATACTTGATTCAATATATATATATATATATATATATATATATATATATACATAGAGAACATATAGTAAGGAGATTGGTTTGGGTTGTACCACGGTAGTGACACTCGACATGGAATGCTGATTTTGAGATAGGGTCCAAAAAAAAAAATGAAGTATGTTTTTTTGAACAAGTTTCCAGTATTGCATTGAATCAGCGCTCTACATTAACTTGATCCGTACGCTTTTAAAGAGTCAAAAGTATTTGTTCGATTTGTTTTATTAATAACTGTTACTTGTATACAGATAGATCACTTTGTTTGTTATTTTGCTGTAAGATGAACATTAGTAGTAAATTACCAATTAGAAATTAATTTTTGAATAGATAATTTATTTAGCTCAGTCATCATGTTTTCAAGAGCGTGCATTGGGTACAGTTGTGACAACTTTTGTGGGTACGGTTGAGACATGTATTTCTTGTTTTTTCGGGTGAAGATTAAACAGATGACGAAAAATCTAGCTTAACCATCACGAAATACGAAAGGAAAAGGGAGTGAAAATGTAGTACTAAAGAAAATATTTCACAAAGATTTTTGTTAACTTTGCTTAAAAAAATAGTTTTGTTATATTATATTTATATGCTTTGTTTAAATAATTATGTTGTTGTTTTATATAATTCTGACAATAAAAGTCGTTATAAACCATTTTAATGTTTATAGCTATTGTTTTTAATCTATGATTATATTTACACCCCCAGAACGGTTGTGTAACTCGCTCTTTTCTTGTATGATTTGATTTTCCATCGCATTTAAGGACAGTATTTCCACGCAGACAAGTATTCAAATTACTATTTAATTCATTTTTCTCCCAGCTAACTGTTAAATTAACAAAGTTATTGCTGATCAAGGAAGTGGCAGTCTTTCTTACATGATGTAATACAGGATTGTAATAGTATAATAATATAGTCCGGTTATATTATTGTAATAGTATAAAACAATTATCAGGTTATTGATTTTCTTACTGCGAAAGTTACCTTTCTGTACCTATTAGTTATCAATGCTAGGGGAAGTATAGACATTTTTTTTTAATTATTTTTTTTATTCTCTATTTTGTGTACAACAGTCCAGTTAAAGACATTTAATAAATTTGGGGAATTTACAATTGTCAGCCGTAAAGGAAGGGACATTGTATACTAAATGGGCATATTGGGAAAACAAATCAATAGTTGTTTAGTTATAACCATTAGTTATAATATTAACAATATTTTATTTATAATGATATAATCTTAACTATTTACTTATAAATAATTTAAACAATGCGTAAGTTATTTTAATCTTTATCAGCAAAATTGATGTCTCACATCCAGTGGCGCTTTTCTTTTTAACCTTCGTCGATAGTTCTCTGTAATTAAGGAGTTTGCTAATGAATTTGGGTGGTATAGTTTCTATTCATCTTTGGTTCTTTGACTGCCCGTTACATAGTATTTGAATTTAGTTCGAACTATAATAACATATTTATTACGGAAAAATGCATCCTATTACTAAAAACCATTTTGTCCATAAAACACGAACAAAAGGGTAAAGAATACTGAGATGCTATTTTTTTAAAAAAACAGTTCACAAAAAAATCGTTTTGTCCTCTTTGGTACATTAGCACATGAAGCATGAGCTCAGAGGATGCGAGCCATACATTGCAATCAATTTTGGTCTGTTTTTAGCAATTATTTCTTGCAAACTTGGGGAAGAAGTTAAAAGCCAAAACTACCTTTGACAGATTTGAATTTTTTTTCTTGACGCTGTAATTCTTGAGAAATAGAACTATGTCATTTTGTCCATTGTATATAAGTATGCTATTTTGTCCGAAATTGAACAAAAATGAATAATGAAACAAAATGTTACCAAACATCTGTTTATTGCAATAAAATTATTTAAAGTTAGTAGTACTGCCATAAGTTTATTGATTTTAATTGAAATTATTACAAATATCAATAAATAGGTTTTCAAAAACATGAGGAAAACACCCTCAAAATAATTTTTTGAAGGCGCGAAACACGTTTGAATTGATTACTATAACAAGATTGTGACAATGATTCTCAACATCAGCTTTTTCGTAAAGTATGAAATAAAATATCCTTTGCCTGAGTTCATCAATGATTTATTTATTACTACGGTTAACACATATTTACAATCCAGTTTTATTTTGAATAAAGGAGCGCACTAGGGGATGCGCGACACGAACATAAACTCCAGGAAACGAGGGACTTCCACATCCTATGCCCCAAGATACGACTCCAATCAATTTTCCCCTTGAATCTGTCAGTGGACCTCCACTGTCTCCTTGACAAGAATCTTTGCCGCCACCAGGAACGCTTGCACATATCTCACTGAAAATAATAATTTTACTTAAATATACAGTAGTTGTTGTAAAAAAGTTTCAAACCATTTATTTGAAATTGAGAGGATCAAATTCTAGAAGACATTCATAATTGTGTATATTTTTGCAAATGGCTATAGCTAATATTTTAAAACTAATCCTTGAAATGGTAATAAGAAAATCAATCTGTCAATATTTGGATGTGCTGACTACTGTATTTTCTTATACCTTCATGCCATGCAGTGTTTGTTGTAAATTTTTTTTTAATTTTTTTTTTTGAACAGCAATCAGAACCTTATGTCCTATGAGCTGTTGGGCTAAAACTTCTCCTTCCTTTGTATCTTTTCAGATGGTAACCCAATGGTTAATCCATCCATATTTGATGATTTTGTTATTAGAATTAATCTAATAGGACTGACATTTTATTGGTGCAGCAATGCCGGGCAAGCGCTATTTTCACTTGGAAACATATTGCTATCTATATTTTCAAGTAAATATCGTTGTCACTGCTGCCTGACATCAGGCTGCTCGAAGTGGGTATCGAACCCGGGACCTCTGAAACAAGTCCCGTCGCTCTTACCTACACATGGTTGTTATAATATTGCAGGATTCTAGAAACCTGTATTTAATAATACCTTTGAACAGTTTTTCAATTTACGTTTGAGAAGTTTGAGAATGGACCAATTCTGCGGTAACATAGATGATAACATACCGTTGTTATGGAAACACTATCTTAACCTTCTTTATTGGTACTAAAAACTGTGAAAATAACTATGGGGCCAATTTTGCAATAATATAGACGATGACTGACCGTTGTTATAGCAACGTTATCTTATCCTTCTCTATTGGACTAAAAACTCTGAAAATGCTATCTATTTTTACTATGCGATCTAGAGTATTTTACATATAAAACAGTATGTTAGAAATGCACATCACAAAGATGGAGTTCTGATGACTTCTAGGTTTGTTCATATGTATAATACTCCTGATAGCACTGCAAATAGATAGTATTTTCACAATTTTTTGTACCAAGAAAGAAAGATAAGATAACGTTGTCATA